TAGAAAATCTCGAAGGCCGTGATCCAGGAAAGCACTTAAACACATGTTTAAAGTTAAGGATGACCTAAATGAGTGCGACTCTTTCTAGAGAGAAACTAGGGCATTGTAAAACACACCACAAAACCAAAACAACCCCAAACCTTACTGTGTTAATGAGACTGATTTTCCTTCCCCCCGGCCCCCTTTACTTGGGATTGTGGTGGTTGCTAGTGAGGCATGAAACTCTTAGGGTCATTCAGAAAATTGCCAACTATGCAGATTTTCAGCACGCTCGGTCGATTCAGCTGCTGAGTTAAAAGCTGTTTTAAAAGGGCAGTGTTGAATTATGGAACAGGCTAGGGCTGAAGTGCCTGACCTGCTGTTGCATAATGTGTTGGCTACCCCTGCATCTACGATTCTCCTTCAACCAGCCCAGCCAAAGATCATATAGTCAGGAACTTGCTGTGAGATTTCTCTCTAATATGTCAGTGCTTTTAATAACTTTTTTCCTGCAGTGATCTTACTGGATTTTGTCCTTCTAGAATTGCTCTTTGGACAGGGACAACTATTTACTCTCTCTACAAAGCCTTCCACAAAGGGGCCCCAACCAGGCCAGTATAAATCTTTAACAATTAAACTTTGTTTCTGCTCCTTTTAAGCTTCTCTGCATATGATTTTTTTTAACTCTGCCCTGTTCCCTGCTCCACCTTGCTTTGCCCCCCCACCTCCATTTCCCCCAGTCTCATCTAAGCAGGACACTAACCCAGTAATATCCAAGTGAGACTCATGAATGAGGTGAGATGTTCTTGACATTGCTTTCCCCTACCCCCCCCCCCCCACCAGATCCAGATTCTGTGGTCCGTATGTCCACATACTGTCACTGACCATTATTTTTTTAATGGGACTTATGCCCCTTCCTGTAGGGTTCTAACATTATTTGTTCTGAGTGGATTCTGCTAATCAACCCTGATCCTATTTTATGCTGCTAAAAATTGGGAGTAACTCTAGTGAAGTCAACAGAGTTGCATGGAGAGAGATCAGAACTGGGCCTCTTTTGATTTTCATGTGGCAATCGTGTGTGTGTGTGTGTGTGTGGTGCCCAGCACTTAGGTGTCAATCCTTGATTAGGGTCACTATGTGCTACTGCAGCACACCCCAATAATGAATTCTTAGGGGCCATCTCTAATTTCACTGGTGTAAATCAAGAGTAACACCACTGAAGTAAGTGGAGTCCAGCTAGCCACGCAATCAATAGCACAGTGGCAAGCAGAAGTTAGTGCCAGAAGACTTTGAGTGGGTCATGGTACATTTCAGAACAAACTTTGACCCTCTCCTTTCTTTACTTGACTTTCTAATATAGCTGTGGGTGGGTGGGGGGGAGAACTAGAAAAGATGGAATCAAGCATCTCCCTGTTCCACCATGCAAGTGTCTTGCCAGGCACAGTATTAGGATCCCATTTCTGTTCATATGACCCCTACCGTGTTGGGTGTATGTGATAATCTACCTGGGTGAGTTACCAGTTTCCAGGAGAGAGGATCTGTATTTAATGTAGTTTTGTTTTTAGTTCTAGTAGGTTTGTTGGATATTTCTGCTGTTATGAAAGATTTACCTTCAGCACCAATCACGGGGGTTGCAAATTGGCAGCAGTTAGCCATGCTTGGTGCTGTACAAGCAAATGAGGGGATACAGTCCCCGCCTTCAGGAACTCACAATGTAGGGGTTCCAATTTTGCAGACCTTACATTTGTGAATAATCTAATGGAGCTCATGAGGCATTCAATTGACTTCAGTAGAACTGCTTCTGTGAGCAAGGATTGCAAAATCAGGCCCCTACTCTGTCTCAAACAAATATATCTGTTTGAGGTGAATTAATGTAGATATTGTCAGGCAGATCATGTGCCGCTTTTCAAGAGGGATCTGAAGGGGGGAGGGATTTTCTTCAGTGTATGAAGAGAAGAAGTTGTAAATAGAGGAAGCAGCATGGAACAAACTGCAAAATCGAGACTAGAAGTATACAAAGAGAGGGTGGCTAGGAATGGTTTATCCAAAGACTTCATCCCTTCTCTTGGCTGAAATATCCTGATCTCTTGTACTGTTTCTATAGTAGAGTAGCTCCTACAGGCTCCAGCAAAGAGCAGGACTCCATTGTGCTAAGGGCTGGTCTAAGGCATAGTAACCGTTCCTGCTCCAAAGAGTTTTTATAGTAAAAATGGACAAGACAAAAGGAGGGTGGGGAATCGGAAGCACAGAGCTAGGAAGTAACTTACTCAAGGGACAGAGCAGGAACCCTAACCCAGGTATCCTGAATCACAGACAAATCTCATCCACAAGGCCACACTGCATCCTAATACGTTTTACACGAGCAAAAAGATTACTTGAGTCTTTTCCCCCCCTCATCTTTCAACTGTCAACCTAGAAATAAGTCTTCATTCACTTTATTATAGAGCCATTGTAAGGAATTAAATGGATCCAACAAAGAAGGGGGAGTGATAATGGCATATAGCTCACCTCAGTTGAAATAATAAAGTATAACATGCAGTGTTCCTGTTTAACCAGGAGCTGAGCAAATGCTTTTAGCATATTAAGGGGTATGAAGATGATGCCTAAGTGAAACTTATCATGGGCCATGTCTTGTATTTTTTGAGTGCTGCGCTCTCGAAAATCTGCCCCTATGCTCAGTTGGGTTTGGAGGACTGAGTTCCTAATGGGTGTAATTACGGTAAAATATTTTAGTAAAAGACTGAAGGGGCACAATATGCCCTGTGAAAATGCCCAGTCCCTTTCATAACTAAGTGCTGCTTAAGCTTTCTTTGCAGCTGGGCATGAGTGGGAATGTGATGGAGGGCTGGGACTACTGATGTTGTTTCTATTTTGAGGAAGGAAGAGTGCGAACCCCTCTGTATTTCATCTGCTGCCTTCGTTGCCTAAATGAAACCCTCCCGTTGAGGAGGGTATGACAAGCTGCATCTGTCCTATCCAGGCTTATAAGGTGGTAAAGTAGAAGGCTGATCAAAATGTGTCTCTAAGCCAAGGCAAAGCAGTCAGCAGCTAATCCTTCAATGTCTGACCCAAGAAGATCAATTGCTCTGTGTCCCGACAGTGTTTGGGTGGGCTGTTTTAATGAGCTTTCCCATGAATTAGGGCTCCCCACGGAGTGCAGTGCGTGGTCTCCTAACTTCCCTTTTAAAGGAATGGTGTGTTAATAAAAATGGAGTCTCAGGATACCGAAAAGCAGTGCATGTTCTAGCACTGTAGGTTGAGTGAACCATATACAAGAACAGAAAGCTGTCTAGAAAGGTTGGGGAACCTGATATTCTTACATAAGAAATAGATTTCTGGGGTGGTGGTGGTGGTGGTAAAAATGTATTTATTATGTAATATAGTGGCCAAGCTCTACTGTGTTCCCTATTGACAGAAAAGAACTGCAGTGTCAGTCCTCAAGGAGGAAATATTTTGCTTATAAACCACTCAGCAGCACAGACAGCGACTTTCAAAAGCAGAGCACAGTGAAGTGAGAGTTAGTGAGAAAAGCGACACTGTCTGATTGGAGCTCCTAGCTTTAGCAAGACTCCCCCTCTATGGAACCCTCTCTGGCTCAGGGCCTGATCTTCTGCTCTTTTATCACTGTTCAGGATCTTTTCTGCTGCTCTTATCTTTTAACCTTCACTATTTTCATGCTGATACTCCACTCATATTTTACCACTTTCAAGGGCTTCCCCTTTCCTGCCTCTTCAGTTTCTCTTGACCACACACTTGTGACTTCACTTCTGCTTTCTTCAAACAAAGCACCTCAAGGACGGAAGCAATTCTCTTGGGCAAGATCCTCATCCTCAATCACAGCACACGCTCTTCCATTCTGCTCCATGGACTGTAGACTTAATCCTGAAACGTTCTTCTCTTCCTGCATCTCTTCTGTCCTCACATTATGGCCTTCACTCCCTCCACAGTGTTTCCCATGTAGGCCTGTACTTATTCCACTGCTCATGCTGTCACATGTGACTTGATCTCCTTTCACCTTGCTTATTGAGCTTTCCTTCTTTATGGCCTAAAGTCTCAGCTTCCTGTATTCCGGCTTGGGGAGAATGCTACCTCCCCTCTGTTAGTTCATCATCCCTTTGAACAACTCTACTTGACACTTATTTAATCACATGCTTCAAAAGTGCACTTGCTAGGGATTTTTAAAATCTTCCATGGAGTTGCTCATGTTTCTTTCACAAAAATTCGCTTCTTCCTTTTCCCCAACTGATCTTCTATCCCCTGCCTCTTTTCCTCTCCTCCTCCCCCGTGATAAACCCTTTATTCAGCATCTGTCATCTCCAATAGCTTCCCTATACCTCTCTGCCTCAAAAATTCTTAGTTTCGGCTGAAACTATCGGTCTCTTACCTTTCTCCCTCACTTTCTTATGTTTTTCTTTAGCTCTGTAGCTGTGTACATGTGAAAACAGTGGCTGCTACAGCAGGCACTGAGATTTTTTTAAGGTAAGTTTGTATGTAAAAACATTAGCACCATCAACTTGTGATTTTAATGTTCCTGTCTGCTTTTTCTGCTAAGGATTCTAAAGCATACTACCCTTGTTACTGAATGAAACAACATCCAGCTGTGGCCTTTGGTGTGGTTTTCAGAAAGGCTGAGCACCCCCCCCCCATTCCAGATGTGGGGGTAGGGAGCTGCTGGTGCTCAACACCCCCGAACATAGAGGGCCTGGGCGCCACAGAATGGGTGGATGCTGTAATTTGCCCAGGCTCACACACTGACTGGGGGATCTAAACAGACAATCCAGCACTCCTCCTGGGTCTTGCATGGTGCCCAACAGCTGGATTGAGACCTCAGGAGTCTGCCTGCAGTGTTACCACCCTGTCCAGTCCTTAGGCACATGGTCCAGCTGGCCTCTACTACAGCCAACCCTCCCCTCCAAAGAACTACATTCCCCATAATGCTCTGCAGAGAAGGGGGTGGAAGAAGGCTTTTAATAGGCCCGTCGTTCCCCAAGGGGCGAGCTGTAATTGGCCAAGTCTATTCTTGCCTCCAGCCCCTCCCTCCGGGGCGGAAGTGTGGCTTACGGTGGCCGGACGGACCCGTGTCGCGTGTGAGCGAATGTGCCCTGTGTCCCGCCATGTAGCGCGCTGCCGCCGCCGCCTCCGCTCTGGTTCGGTTCCAGCGCCCGGGATGGGGGCCTGGCTCCCGTCCCGACAGGGGGGCCCCCGGCCATGAGGGGAGCCCGGTACCTGCCGCTGCCAGTGACCGCGCCGCTCGGGGAGTGGGGGCTCCGCCTCGGTGAGTCCGCGCTCCGGCCCCGCCCCTGCTGACCGCCCCCCGTGCGCCCCGACCCCCCGTACCCTGCAGTCCTGCCCCGTGCGCCCGGCCCCCCCGTATTCCTCCAGTCCTGTCCCGTGTACCCCATGCGCCCGGACCCCCGTAACCCCACAGTCCTGCCCCGTGCGCCCGGCCCCCCCGTATTCCTCCAGTCCTGTCCCGTGCCTCCAACCCCCCGTGCGCCCGACCCTAGTCCTGCCCCGTGTACCCCATGCGCCGGACCCCCCCGTAACCCCACAGTCCTGCCCCGTGTCCCCGTGCGCCCGACCCCCCCGTGTCCCCCAGTCCTGCCCCGTGCGCTCCGACCCCCCGTACCAGTCCCGCCCTGAGTCACCCCGTACGCCCCGACCCCCGCCCGTGTCCCCCAGTCCTGCCCTGAGTCATCCTGTGCGCCCCGACCCCCCGTACTCCTCCAGTCCTGTCCTGACCGCCTGTGTCTCCCAGTCCTGCCCTTCCCTCATACCCTTCAGTCCTGCCCCTCCCCGTCAGTCACCCCATGTGCCCTGACCCCCCATGTCCCCTGTGCACCCCTCCTCCCCACATACCTCTGTAGTCCTGCCCCTTCCCTGAGTCACCCCGTGCGACCTGACCCCCCCCGTGTTCCCCAGTCCTGCCCCTGACCCCCAAGTCACCCTGTGCACCCCTCCCCCATGTCCCCCAATCCTGCCCATGACCCCCCAAGTCCCTCTGTGTGTCCCCCCCATCCTGTCCCTCCGAATCACTCCATGGATCCTAACATGGATCCTAACACTTCCCCTCTCTTGCCTCCCCCATGTACCCCAGCCATTCCCCTCCCCTTGAGTCCCCCATGCATCCCCCCTCCCCCCTGTGTTCCTCCCAGTCCAGCTCTCTCCCCTCATGAGTCACTCCCTGGACCCTAAGACTCTCCCTCCCCAGCCCTCTTCCTCAACGGCCCGGTCCTCCTGAGTCACCCTATGGACCCCAACAGTCTTCCTCCATATGCTCCCTCAAGTCACCCCATGCACGTTGGCCCCCTTCTTTGTGATCTTCCCCCTTAGCCCCGTTTTCTGGCCCAGTGCTTGTGCCTCCTGCCCCTCCCAGTCACCCGATGCATCCCAGCCCCCTTTCCCAAGCAATTACCCCATGATCTGCACTCAGCTTGCCCTCTACTATTGCCCATTTTCCCTCTTTCTTTCGCCATTCCCCTCCTCTCTTGCACCCCACTAAACTGCTTCCCCCCTCCCCCCCAGCTTGTCACCCTGGCTGGGAGATGGGGCAGCAGCAATGGGCGGCTGTAGGAGGAAGGAGCCAGACATAACAGGATGTTTTTATGGCTGGTAGGGGTTGGGTGGAAAAATAAACAAATTTAGGTGCTGGTGTCACTGAATGAGTTTGAGGATGGGGTGTCTTGGGGATTAGTCTGAATCCTCTCCGAAGAGGAGGCAGCAAGTGGCTTAATTTGTGTCTGTCATAGTGAAAAGAAAGCTAAAGATCTGTAGTAACATACACACTCTATATTGGGTTCATTTATGTGTCTTAACACCCACATGGTTCATATTAGCACACTTGTGGAAACATAAACTGATTTTTAAAAGTAAGGTACTGTTCTTTTTGGGTGGGTGTTTGCTTTATTTGTATGAAAAGATTGGGGTTTGATTTGGGGTGGAGGGGATTTCTGTGTGTTTGCCAGGAAGTTGGAAAATGAAAGCAACTCTGTTAAAAGCTTTGAAATGGTGTAGTTCTCCTCAGGACTTTGATCTGTGTCACTACTATCACAGTTGTTTCATGATTGGTGGAAGCTCTGCCCTTTATCTGGCGTGAAGTTTCCTTTCTCTATCTCCTTGCTTGAAGTGCTTTAAATCTTTTTTTTTTTACGGAATACAGTTATTGAAAATGAGGATATACGTAATTAACACACACTTCTACAGTAGTGACTGTATGAATGCCTAGTCTCAGATTTACAGCTATCCAGCAGTCTTCCCTCAGCCTTTTTATCATGGCATTTTTAGTGGAATACTTTCCTCTAAAACTAGGACTATTTCCTTTCTGATGTAGTATTTTAATTACAAGACTTAAACCCTTTGCCATTTGGTACTTATTACTTATTTGGCTCAATGTGATGATGTGAGTTAGAGCAGGGCCATGGTTTCTGTTCCAAAGTTTGCCATGGTCTGTTTGTGATCATAGGCAAGTTTTTATATGCATCTGCCCCTCAGTTTTTTCACCTGTATAATGAGGCTGATACCCATCTTGATAAATTAGTTTGAGGGCCTTGGATGAAAGCATTATATAAGTTCAAGATGATGTTATGTTTGAGTAGCGTGTGCATTGTTGAGTATGTGTGTGGCACATACATTCACGGTATGTATTTTTTGCTTCCACTGAGCTAATTCCTGAATTTCATTTTCGATCTCTTCCCACTCAAGTGTGGGTACAAGATCTTGGTGTTAAATAGTAGTTTCTGAAATGTAAAAGGATCGAATCACAAGACAATGCCTCATTCACTATGTGCAGATTTTAGTGGTTACAATTGACTTATCTTCCTAATGTATTCAAAACAAACATGATCCATATAACAAGCTGACACTCCCTGACTGAACTGCCTGTTCATGATTTTGGTCAGCCTGTTTATTTTTAGGGTCTTAGCTCCTGTTTGTAGAGAATAGTTGTCCTGTCGTCGTAGCAACCAGGCTATGTGTACTATAAACATTATTAAAGGAAACCTTTTCCATCCTAAATGAGACTTCCTTTTCATAATAAAGTTAGGGTCAACATGCAAACATTTAACCTTTTTTGTTCAGGGATCATTCAACAGCATGCTACAGAGAATTGCCCATTCAGTCATAAACAAGGATGCTTTTACTTTTAGCAGATGTGCATATCACAGCTAATTTCATATGCAGCTGATAAACACTTTTCCGTCTTTGTGCCTGTGGACCAGGAGAAAACAAGTATAGTTTACTGAGAGCTGAGTGTCCTTAGAAATAGGGGTTTTATAATTGTCTTCTTTCCCACATCAGGAAGGTTAAAAACCAGATAAAGGCATTTAGTTTATAATTTTCTATTTCAGTTCAAATGACTCCTGTGATGTCTCCCTTTAAGTCTAGTATCTCCTTGTGGGGTGAGGGTGATCATGGAAATTCAGACTTCCAACCATGTTGAAACAAACTATGAAAGTTAGGTCCAGTGACTACATAACTCATCTCATTGGGGAGTTATGACGTCTCCAGCCAAGAAAGCTGGTGGATCAGAATGACTGCAACAACTGGAGGAAATGCATGGAAAATTATTCTTGATCACAGGAGTTCTCCCTACTTGTCACCTCCGAACAGGGATTGAAATGTTTTAAACGCTAGTTTAGGCAAGACAAAACTGTTTTCAGTAACATTGGAACAAGCACGGAAGATTGTCTCAATCATGCTTCCTGTAATGATGTTGGAAAAACAATGTTGGTCCAGTAGTCTTCAATTTCAGGGTGGCTAGGAGATCCCATTATTGAAATTAGAACAGGAGTACTTGTGGCACCTTAGAGACTAACAAATTTATTAGAGCAAAAGCTTTCATGGGGCTACTGCCCACTTTTTTGGATGCATATAAGAAGTGGGCAGTAGCCCACGAAAGCTTTTGCTCTAATAAATTTGTTAGTCTCTAAGGTGCCACAAGTACTCCTGTTCTTTTTGCGGATACAGACTAACACGGCTGCTACTCTGAAACCTGTCATTATTGAAATTGCTACCAATGGCTCATCTTCCTACTGTGTGTGTTGGAAACAAGCAAGACTTTCCCATGGAAATGTATAAGGTACAGAAGATAAGGATATATTTATTTAGTTGATGGTAAATGGACTAGTTATTGGGGGGATGTATATTTCACCTCTAGTTCTAAAAATCTTTGGTGTAAAATTGCAACTTAATTTTGAGACATGGACTTGGAGGCTCATGTGCAGTGTGAGTTTGAAGTAGACATAATTGTCAAATGATAAAATATGAAAGGTGAAAATTATAGACAAGCTCTTATCATAAGGGTATCTCCTCCAGTCTTGCCCTCAGAGGTGCCTCCTGCCTTGCTGGCCACAGTTTCTCTTGCAAAACAGGCATGTTTTTCTGTCTGGCATGAAACCCAGTGTTCAGTGGAAGCCAGAGAGATAAGAAGACTGGATTTTTGAATTCTTTATTTTTGAAGTTTGGTTTTGGATTTCAGCATTTACTTAGTGAAGAAGTTATTTGAAGGATATTCCCTGAGCACTAACAAGGTGTTTTGTTTTGTTCAGGCTTTTGGTTGGGAGTGTGGAAATCCAGGTCTCCAGTTTAAGTTACTATCTGCAGTGAATTGCTTACCTTAATTTTTATTGTAAACAGGCTTTTACTGGCAAATGCCTGTTTGAACTGGAAGCCTTATTGAGTTTAAAGGCAATGTGTAATGCTGAGTTGTGGCTTGCCATCAAAATACTAGCTGATGCGGGCAGAAGAAGTCTAGATGTTGCTCTGGTACATCTTGCATTTCATAAAGTTGTCTTTTGTCTATACTTAGATTGTAAACTTCTTGAGCAAGGGGGCCATCTTTTTGTTCTATGTCTGTACAGTGCCTGTCATAATGGGGTCCTTGTCTGTAACTAGGCCACCTAGGCACTACAGTGGTACAAATAATGAATCATAATAATAATAGAGAGAGAAATACTTGGGAGATGCTCAGATACTACAATGATGGGGGGGTGGGGGGTGAAGATGCAAGTAGCTACATAGTGACCTTATGAACTAGCATGGAGATGGTGTCCCACATATTATAGGCACCGAGGTCCTTACTTTGTTCCAGGTAAAATGAATAAACTTGTACATGAGATAAAACATTAAGAGCAGTAATGCAGGAAAATCCATTTCCCTGAGGCTTAGAAGTATTTATGTGAAAGAATTAGCGATAACTGGATATTACTTTTTAAGAACTGTGCTAATCAAATATCTGCCTGGTTAACCTCGTTACATGTAGATAAGCCATTAACACCTGCTTCCCTTTCCAGTGTATTGGAGCTGCAGGTATTGTCCATAGGGATTCAACAGCTCACTAGCATATCTCCTTTATCCTCATTAATTTCTTTAGTGCTTTCTCTCCTATTTTCCACTTCCTGTTTTCACTCTTCCCTCTGTCTTTTCTGTTTTGTCTGCCTGTCTTTAATTTTACCACTCTAAGGGGAAAAAACAACAACAATTTCCCTCTCTTCTAGGGGCAGAGAAGTGCTGCTTTACTCTCTTGGTACTCCATTTGTGCTCTCTCTCACTGGGAGAAGGGAGAGAGAGTGCTTCTTTGGGCAGGTACACTTCAAAAATAGATGAACTGAATTACGACCTGCCCAAAAACATACCTGCCCTGAGGCACCTAATTTAAGTAGGAATGTTGAGCCCTGTGTAAGCTGTCAGCTGCAATCCATTTACAGGACTGACTAAAATCTGACACTCGGACATGTCGACTGCCTGCTCTTTTCCTTAGGCAGGGGTTGTTTTCTGGCCCGTGGGTGGGTATGTGCCAGGTAGTAATGAAATCATTACCAAAGCCTTTTATTTCCCTGGCAGCCCCAACTGAATCCTAAACTTACCCATGCACGTAACCTGCATCTTGGAGAATCCTGGCACAGTTTCACCTTGCTCAAGAACCACTTGGAGTACAATGCCTACACACGAATGATGGTTTATCTTTTGTCTGATTCATTTGCTTTGGTACACAACTATACCCTTAGGTTTGCCTGTATAATGGTATTTTCCCATGTAGCCAAGCCAACAGTTACTACTGGGATAGTTAAACCAATATACCAGTATAACTATGACTCTCCATTCTGGAATAAAAGTGCCTTTTTGGTTTATCTTAAATTCCTTCCAAAGTTATGTGAGCCAAACAGGGGAAAAAAGGCTTTGCTATGCTGGAATAAGAGTGTCCACTCGGGGAGTTATAGCAGTGTAACTATATCGGCTTAAATTCACATCTACTCATAGAAGAAAGTAAAGTTAATTTTACCACATCCCTGAGCACCGTAGTTAAGCTGACCTAACCCTGGTGTAGACAGCACTAGGAAGTATATTGGACTGTATCTTTACCTATACAGTCATGATTGAAGTGCCGGTGATGTGTTCAGAGCTAACGGGGGCTCTAGCCCTAGTAGTTTGCACTGTAAAAGACAGACATAGATAGGACAAGATGCAATAGGTATTCATTTGGATCTTTATTTTCTTCCCTGTTTTCTCACCCTCTCAAAAGGTTGGGGAAGAGCCGATTTGTGGGATTTGAGTGAGGAGAGAATGGGGACTAGTGCACTGGGATTGAGAGACTTTTCCATACATAGGAGGTTACAGAGGCTCTGAATGCCCAAAGGAAAAATGAACTATGCTGCAGTATCAGTGTTTGTCTCTCTAATTCCTGCTAATTGTAATTGCTTTGGAGGGACTTGACCAGCCATCTCTTTCCTTTCGAAGAAAGGTATGGAGTTTGTGGGAGGGGAGAAGGAGCTCTTTAACACTGCTGCATCTGCACTGTTTTTCATGAGGCAACACAAAGCCAGAAGTGGGCGAGCACAGAGCAGTTTAGAAATCCTTTTTCGCTAATGATTCGGTGTGACTTTCCCAAAGTGACCTGATTTAGTTAAATGCAGCTAAATATAGCCTTTGTGAAAAAGACTGCGATGTGGGAGGAGACGATGGCAGCCGGCTTCTAGGCTGTCATTCTGCAGGGAATGTCTTCCACGACTGGTGACTAATAATTTTTGACTCCTGCTGCCAGTGGAAATAACATCCTTGCTCCCTTCCTGTCCTGGTGAGATGTAGGAAATGGTACAGTTCATAACCCTTTGCCTATCTGATCTCTACCCTTCTGCATTTCAGCTCACTGCTATGGACAGTACGATCACCTTGTGGCAGTTCCTCCTCCAACTCCTCCAGGAGCCTCAGAACAAACATATCATCTGTTGGACCTCCAACGACGGGGAGTTCAAATTGCTGCAGGCAGAGGAGGTGGCCCGGCTTTGGGGAATCCGCAAGAACAAGCCCAGCATGAACTATGACAAACTCAGCCGTGCTCTCAGATACTACTATGTGAAGGTAACAACTCCCATTAGTCCACCTCACGTCTTATCGCTCTTACACCCAGCTTCCGCCTAATGAGCTTTGTTTCCTTTTTCATTCTCTTCAAGAAGATAGATGTCAGTTCTGTCTTCGGCTTAGATGAGGTGTGACAAAAGGTTCCCCCTGCCACAGTGTTACTGTTTTAATTGTTCAGAGATTCCAGAGAGCTTCCTGTGAAATATCACCTCTTTAACTTACTTGTATCACACACTCCTTTATTAATAGTCCACAAAAACAGGTGTATACTTCAAAAGGGTGTAAAGTCTTGAATGTTCAAAACGAATTAAAATCTTGCTAATAACTATGAGAATTTTGTGTCCCTCTCTCTACTTCAGATCTTTCTTGCAACTGTTTCTACAAAGTGGCCGGTACAAAAACAGGTTTCCAAAGTAGCCCAAAATCTTTTTTTTTTTTTTCTTCTTCTTGTGCTCAGTATAAAGCTGCACCTCTACAGTAGGGAATGCGTCAGTGAAGCTCAGAGACACTTCTCTTGTGTAGCTAATGAATTTACTTCTTGTTACCTTTTGAAAGTTGCAGATGCTCTGACACCACCAAGGCATTGACGAAAGGCTTGAAGGAGCTGAATTAGAATTAGAAACGGGTAGTGACCATAATTTCAGTAACCTCTCAATAAGTGGTTTATCCCACAACTCTTATTATGTGGGTGTTTAAGATAAGAAAATAACATACAGTTTCTGAGCTAACTGTTAGTCGGTTGCTCAGAATTTATTGTTACCAGGACTGCACAGTTTCCTTAATCTGTTCTTGTATTAAAAAATCTTAGTTGGTAGTAGGTAGCTGTACAATAAATAAGAATCCATTTAGACCAAAACTGTTTGTGTATTCTTTTCAATACATACAAAAATAAGTAGCAACAAATGCTGCATAGGGGAATAGTTTGGCTGCTGTTTAGCATACTGTACTGCTGAATACTTCATCTTGCCTATATCTTTTGCTTTTATTATAACATCTGATTAAAATAAGTGTGGTCTGTTTTGAATACTCAGGCCCTGATCTTGCAAACACTTCTGCACGTGAGTAGTTCTATTGACGTCAGTTAAGATGCGTATTTGCAGGATTGGAGCCTAAGTTTGTGATTACCTGCTGTGTACTAGACTCTTTGATTTTGACCTTGATGCTGGTGACAGGTGACGTTATCTGCATCTGTTTGTTGTTGCTAGTTGTGCTTTTTTTTATTATGAGACTAAAAAAAAATTGCTGCGTAGCTTTAAGGTCCTTGCTTGTAATCAGGGTGGATAAAAATCAATGATTTAAAAAAATATATATATATTTTTTATTTAAATTGGATTTTTTGGATAAGGTTTTTCCTCAAAAAGCATTTTATCTAAAGATAGTTTTAATTAAGATATGTTATAGCTCAAAGATATCTCATCATGGAATAGGGATTATAAATTCTAATTCTATAGTATGAGACAATATATTCATGTAATGTTTAAGAAAAGTTTTGTAAATGAGTTCCAATAGTTCATGGATTAGGGACCCAATTTTATGGGGTTCTAGGGGCTTCTGTATAGATTATTTAGGTTAATCTTTCTATCTACCCAATGGGACTCAGTGCTCAGCCTAGAAGATACCATCAGAGATACTTAGTTTTGCAGTTCTCAAACTGTGGATTTGTGTCTCCAGGGGTAACATGCGTGTTAACAGCAAAAATGTTTTTAAATAAATAAATAACGTAAAGAGGTGAGAAATAACAGACCTCAACTCTATTGTCCCTCTGCAAATCTGTGTACACAGAGTCAATCCCTTACCTCTCTAAAAGTGCAATGAATAGAAGATTGTTGGGAGCAGAATAGATCTGGACAAGGAGAAGAAGTCTGGAGATAAATGTGAGAAGCGAGGGACATATGCTTGTTTTGTTAAAATATTATGTTGGCTGTTGAAGAAAAAAATCCAGAATACTTAATGTTGTTTTAGTTAAATAAAACAATTTAAATATCTGTCTGGTGATGTTCTCCTCCTAATACAGCATGGCAAGAAAATCCTCCAAATATTAATGATTAACCTGTTGAATTGGAGATAGTTCACCTCCCAGTGACTTCATAAATATCTGCTTCAGTTACCTTTGGTAAATGAAATAACCAAACAATTGTTCATTTTCTGATATAGCTGTAAAACTAATCTGAAAAGTTTTCAAAATAAATCACTGTTTAAAAATGTATAGTGTGTACCTTCTAAAAATGAAACCTACATCTATCTCTGAGTTGTGAAGAATATGTATTAAGGTTATAACAACCAAAAAAAATGCACTTTTATGTAGAAAACCATGATTAAATCGAGTCTTCCTGACTAGTGATTTAAATCATGATTTAAATCAAATCCACCCTGCTAGTAATGCATTTCAGGTGAGGTTTGCTTGTTTTTTGGTTGGGGTATTTTAGAAATAATAGTTTTGGTGGGTATTTTTTAAGTTGTTGGAATCCTAATGCTCATAAAAGTGAAAAAATTTTGCTACTGAAGTCAAGATGCCACCTACGCATTAGTCAGTTTTGGGGAGCGTCTGTAGCAAGAAAATTAGTAGGTGGAATGATGGAAAATTATTTTCTCTACCCACAGAATATCATCAAAAAAGTGAATGGTCAGAAGTTTGTGTACAAGTTTGTTTCTTATCCGGAGATTTTGAATATTGCTCCACTGATGGTGGGCAGGATTGAGGGAGACCCAGTGATGGCTGGCTTTGCAGAAGTCAGCAGTGCTCCGAAGGACCTGGAAAACGGTGTGAAAGAGAAGCCCCAGACCTGTGCTAAATCATCCAGCCGCAATGACTATATCCATTCAGGCCTGTACTCTTCTTTTACTCTGAACTCCCTGAACTCCTCCGGTGTGAAGCTCTTCAGGTCGGTCAAGATTGAGAATCCAGCTGAGAAACTGGTGGAGAAAAAACCCGCTCAGGATTTGACACCTTCAGTCATAAAGTTTGTGACCATGCCCTCCAAAAGGCCTGCAGTTGCACCCCTTGCCTCCACTCTTCCTATAGAATCAGAAGAAACTCTCCAGACCTTGGAGACTCTAGTTCCACCAAAATTAACTCCCACTGAAGCTCCAGCCCCTTTGCCAAACTTTACCACCACCTTCACCCCAACACCACCTGCATCTTCCATTTCTCCCACTCTGGAGGTTCCTTCCACACCCCCTTCACCACCCTTGAGTTCTAACCCTGACCTGGACATTGACACGGACATAGAGTCGGTGGCTTCTCAGCAGTTGGAGCAGTCTCAGAACCCTCAGCACCTATCACCAGAGCCCAGAGAGCACGATTTGTCTGTGCTAGAGAAGGATCTTGCCAATCACCTCTCCAGAGCTAAAAAACCTAAAGGGCTGGAGCTAGCTCCCACTCTTGTCGTTACAGGCAGTGATCCAAGCCCACTGGGGATACTAAGCCCTTCTCTCCCTACTGCTTCTCTTACTCCAGCATTTTTTTCACAGGTAACCTTATTCCCTTCTCTTGTTTCTATTAACATCATCTGTTGTGCTTGACAACAGCAAGGGAGGGCAGGTTGAAAAATGAATAGCCAACGGCAATGGTTGTGTTTGGACTCCTGAAAGGAGGTGTGTCTTTAAAATAGAAATCTATTCTGGAACATAAATGACCAGTGTCACTGGCATCCTATTTGAAAAGTGCTCAGCGGTTCTTTGACTATGGAGGAAGACAAACTGGGGTACCCAGCTGCCTCTGTTGTTAAATCATTTGTATAGGAGGCACGATTAAAAATACTTTGAAGGTGACTCAGTGTTCTCGCTCCAGGGCCATGTCATGAGGCACTTCAGGCAGACTTAAAAACATTTGTGTGTTAGATGATTTAATCGAGAAATGTTGAAACCTCAGCCTAACTGTTCCTTCACTTTATCCAGTAGGAAGCTACTTTCAACAAAAAGGAGGCTGAGTGGCAGCATAATATGGGTGTTACTCTTCTATGGAAAACCTGGCTTTCACATCTCTTGGGAAAATGTGCAAAATATCCAAAGAGCTCTGAATCTGGTTGTTACATTGTTCTGGTTGGTTTTAATCTCTTTCCTATTAGTAAATTGAAGTTAGGTGCTTCCTTAAATTCACTGTAGTGGAAGCACAAACTGCTGAAGATGTGGGAGAGAGAACCATTGCACTGTTACTTAACCATTCTTGGTAGAACTTGCCAAAATACAGTAGTTGTTTGGCGATACATGGAAAATCTAGAGAATGTGCCTAAGTAGGACACTTGTTATTTCTGATCTATGGCTGAGGTTTTCTGTGCCACCTCGGGCATTTGGATGTTCAAATTCCCTTTAATTTTAATCTCTTCGGTGGTTTTGGAAATATCAGTTTAAGGATACTGTGCACTGAATCCCAATTAGAGCAGGCAGCCGGGAGCCTGGTCATGTCACCTTTGTGCCTCCACTCTTTTCTCCTGTAAAATGAGGTTAATTCCTGCCTCCTATGGGCGCCTTGTATTTTTTTTTTTGTAAAGAACTACATAGGTGCTAAGAACAACATTTTCTGACCTAGGTACCTACACTAATGTGTATATGTAGGGACTGAAATAATTGGCCTGATTTCTCAGCAGCGTAGAGCACCCGCAAATCCCTTTGAAAGTCAGTGGGAGCTGCAGATGCTCAACACATTTGAAAATCAGGCCTTTTTTTGGTTTGTTTTTTTCATATGGAATTAGATATCTAACTGCTGGCAGCTAGGGTTTGAGAACTTTGGCCTAAGTGTACAAGTGCTAAGAATGACTAGATGTAATAACCTGTAACGTAAATGACTGTGTTTTGTATCTCTCTTAGACTCCCATCTTGCTGACCCCAAGCCCCTTGTTCTCGAGTATTCACTTCTGGAGCACGCTCAGTCCAGTAGCTCCTCTCAGTCCAGCAAGATTGCAAGGTGCTAACACCCTTTTTCAGGTAAGCTCCAACAAGACTAGCCGTGCCTGTCCACTTCTGAGCGCCACTTCTGACTGCCTTCGCAGCGCACCTTGTGGAAATGTGAGGGGTAGAGTTGGTCTAAAAATTTTACTGCAAGATTATGCCAAAAATATTTGCCATTTAATCAACAGTAAGGTCATAAATTGCCAATAACTATCAAATTGTAGATTCATTAGTTGAGACTTTACCAGATGTGGCAATTTGTTACTCTATAGCCATAATTGTATGTCTGCATAAATAACAGTGTTACAATATAAGTAACAATGATAGAACACTTTGTTAATTACATCTTTCTCTGGTGAAATACACTAATGCAATCTTCATAGTGTTGGGAGAGGGAGAGTGTTCCTATTGTATAGGCCTGTGACAACCTGGACCACAGTTTTGCTGCATGGACCCTGGATTCTGCACCATTCTATTGCAATGGACTGGAAATTCTGTCAGTTTCATTGTTGTTTTTTTAAATGGAGATTTTTTTTTAAATGAACTACATATGAACACAAATTGGTACTTGTTGCTATTAAATGGATCTGGGTTAAGCACATCTGCTGCTTGATTCTGTGAAAATGAACAGTGACATTTTACTGGCCATCTTTGTGTTATGAACTTAACATCTCCATGGAGATGAAGGGAGGAGCTTACATGAGTGTATCTGCAGAACAGTTGGACTCCCTACTGTCTAAATACCTGCGAATAATATTGAGGCACAGTGTGGAATGCTTGTTCTGCTGTGCTGGTACTTGCATTAAAGAGTCATAGAACTGTGATTATTTTATTAGTTGGGATAAAGGCTTTGCTCAGTACAGATATAAACTGGCCATCCACAAGTTTAGGATTGAAATTAGACGAAGGTTTCTAACCATCCAAGGAATGAAGTTCTGGAACAGCCTTCCAAGGGGAGCAGTGGAGGCAAAAAAAACCTAACTGGCTTCAAGACTGATCTTGATAAGATTATGGAGGGTATGGTATGATGAGACTGCCTATGATGGAACAGTGAGCACTGTCCGGGGTTCTCTGCTCTGTGTCCTCGTCAGGTTCCCTTTGTTTACCCCTATGACCTCATTCCTGTACCTGTTATATCTTTAGTTGTCCCCCATAATTAATTGAGATCTGGGACTTTGTGGTTCCTCCCCTTAGGCTGCAGGAGGTCTTTAGCAGTGGGCTCCACCCACCCACTTCCAGGATCCCAACAGGATGGCATGTAGCTGATCTGCGACTGCTAGTAGCAAATATCTCCAGACAGTAGATAGGGAGTGCTCTGAGTTACTACAAAGAATTCTTTTCAAGATGTCTGGCTTCTGGGTCTTGCTCACATGCTCAGGGTCTAACTGATTGCCATGTTTGGGGTCGGGAAGGAATTTTCCCCTGGATCAGATTGGCTGAGACCCTGGGGGGTTTTCGCCATCCTCTGCAGCATGGGACACAGGTCACTTGCACGTTTAAACTACTGTAAAGGGTGGATACGCTGTAACTTGAAGTCTTTAAATCATGATATGAGGACTTCAGTAACATAGCTAGAGCAGCAGTCCTCAAACTTCCTTGCACTGTGACCCCCTTCTGACAACAAAAATTACTATACGACCCCAGGAGGTGGGACCGTAGACCAGGCCCGCCAGAGCCCCGTCACCCTGGGTGGGGGGCCAAAGCTGAAGCCCAAGGGCTTCTGCCCTGGACGGGGGGCATGTAACCTTAGCCCTGGGTGGTGGAGCTTGGGCTTGAGCCCCAGGCGTTGGGGCTTGGGCTTCAGACTTGCTAGGGCCCAGGGCCAACACCGGCCTTAGTGACCCCGTTAAAATAGGGTCGTGACCCACTTTGGGGTCCCAACCCACAGTTTGAGAACCCCTGAGCTAGAGGTTATGTGTGTCTTACAGGAGTGGGTGGGCGAGGTTCTGTGGCCTGCGATGTGCAGGAGGTCAGACTAGCTGATCATGATGATCCTTTCTGGCCTTAAAGTCTGAATCTAACTTACAAACTTAATCACTGTGTCTGCTGCAGCTACACTGATAGTAATGCTGGGGTTCAGGGACACCTGGATGCATTGGCAATTAAAGTTTCCATTGCCAGATGATGATCTGTAAAAGCCCTTGGTAGTGGAGGAAGCCATATGAGCTTTTTCAAAGCCTTTTGGGCTCTTTGTAGAACTTATTGTGGAGAGATCTTGAGACATGAGAACAAAGAAACTAAAATAAAAACAACAACTCTAACTCTCTGTTTTGTTTCTTAGTTTCCGTCAGTACTGAGTGGCCATGGGCCATTTACTCTGTCTGGACTGGATGGACCCTCCACCCCTGGGCCGTTTTCCCCAGATCTGCAGAAGACATAGCACATGAACTCCTGGAAAGGACAAATTGGGGAACAACGGAAAGAGATGACATTCAATGTAATCCATTTTTGAATGAGCAATTTATAATTCCACCCAGATCATGAATGGTCATAATTTTTGCCATTCCCAGTTCAAATGCCTTTTTGCAAAATTCCCTGTTTTGAAGACTAAATTGGGAATGCATATGGAAACGCCTTAATTGGAGTTCAGGCTCCACAATCTTTTCTTTGCCCCCTTGGTTAAGAAGTCTCTTAAAGGGAGTTTTTGGTGGGATGCGGTGACTGAATTTGTATTGATTGCAGCAAAACAATATCTAAGAAGTCTCTCCTCTCTCACTCCGACACCTCCATTCTTCTGCTTCCTGTGCTGGGCATGAAGAAAATGAATCATGATTGAAGCTGGCATTCCAAGAAAAGGGTTTGAGTGCAGTTTTGTCATGGGGCTAATGATAACTTCTCCTGCAACAACAAAACAGCAAATGTCTCATGCTATAAAAACATCTAAACTTTTTGCAGGGAGAAATGTTTAAAGAGTACTTATGGTGGTATAGGTGAAAAGCAGACCATTGTTTGGATAATGTTGCACACAGTTAATCCAGCAGTAAAGTTTCACTCTTTGAGAGGGGACTGGTTAGCTCCCAGAGGCAACTTGTAATATTGTGAGCAGGCAGGGCTCTGAGACAAATGGATCATGGCATGAATTATTTGGGGTTCTTGAACTGTTTGAATTCTTTGGTATTTCTTGATGGTTATATATACACACATCTCTGATGCCTGATATCTGTGTAAAGCCTGTAAATTGGCTGCTAGAAGATTAACAATCATGCTAACCTAGGACTCTCCCCACCTCCGTCCCTGGTATTGGATATTCAGTGTGAGATTGAGGGTTGTCTGTCTATTTGGCAAATGACACTCTGGGGCTGGTTGCTGCTTGATGTTCTGATCTGCAGCTCAAGGGGAAAGAACACTCAAATTCTCTGCTTTTCCCAGAAATGAGGAACCAGAAGTGAAGAACCCCCTCTGCCCAGCTCTTGTTGTCTCAAGTTCTACTTTAACCACATTGCTTTTTAAGTAGAGGAAGTGTTGGAATTCATGAAAAGTTGGGTTTGATGTGTGCAGCTAAAATAGGAAGAGAATTGTGCAGTATCACCAGTAAGGTAAAATCACTCATGTTCCAGGTAAACATGCCTAACTTGTGGTGGTGGGTAGATGGGAGTGTGTATTGGGGGGTTAATATGAGTGTTCTTGAAAGCCATTTCAAACTGATGAGTTAGGACCAGTAGCTTGGACAATAACCTCAAGCAGTCTTTTGTGGGAGAGCTGAGATCTGACAGAAGCGCTTAAGACTGGGGGATGCAGTTGGACTTCTGCCATCCACTGTCTGTCAGGCAACAACTTCCTCTTGCTACCAATGTATATGCAATGAGGATGCACTTGGATAACCTGTCCGCTAGAAAGTGGACTGAGACTGCACTTCTCTCGGTCACCTTTATTCAGGGTGACGAGATGTTCCGATTTTATAGGGACAGTCCCGATATTTGGGACTTAGTCTTTTATAGGCGCCTATTACTCCCCACCCCCTGTCCCGATTTTTCACACTTGCTCTCTGGTCACCCTGCCCTGATTAGCTGTTTCAGAAGAGATGCTGAAGATGGGATGAGCATGGAGAGGCAGTACTTTCAGAACAGAGTTGAGTCTTGTTAGTGAGGGAAGCTTGCTGTGTTACTCCTTTCATTGCACTTGTTCTTAAGACAAAGAGAGGACTTTGTTCTCCAGAGCTTTCAATCTGACACTTTTTGCAAGCTCTAAATTCACTTCAAAGCATATGTGTTTGAGAACGCCCAAAACTGAATGTAGTAAGATGAAAGTAGCTTGTTATATTCCAGCACTGAAATACATACATCAATATATCATGTATCTTTAATATTTCACCCTTGAGAAATGGATGTTAGAGTTAGTTTTTGGACTTTTCAGCCAGAAAATCTCTTGTCCCAAGTGAATTCAGAGGAAAGGATATCTAGCTTTTGATGGGAGCAGAAGGGAGTCTGTTGCCTCCCTGCCAGATCAAGTTAAAGGCAAGTTACTGGTTCAGTTTATGAACATCAGTAGCTAATGATTGGGAAGTCCCATGTCTGTGGATCTCAAAATGACAATGTGCAATATTTACTAGCTTTTAAGTTGGTAGTGCAGAAAGAAAGCTGCAGATAGTAATTAAGAGCAGGCATCTGGGATTCTTTGGTTTGCAAGATGGCTTATTGCCTATTTAAAAAAAAATCTATATCTATATATATAGTCAGCAGCACTTTGTGATGGTTGTATTAGGCTGACTAGCTTTATGCCCAGTAAGTGTGCAGACTGGAGGGTAGTATTGTAGAATGAGGATGTATATTTTTAAAAAAATGTCATGAGCACTAAAGAATTGCAATTTGATTGCTTCCCTTTCCCCCATGGAGAAAAGCCAGGTTTTGTGTGTGTAAAGATTGCACGTTTTTGTGTGTGTTTTTCTCATATTTGTGTGGCATATATCTCTGAGTACACGTAAGCAAGAGAACCAAATGCACATGCATGTTGGCGCAGGCATCAGTTTCGCTTGGTCCAGTTTCATGTTCCCCTCTCAGCAGCTTCGAAGGGATGCACTGCCATAGCTGGTTGACTAGTAACGTGCACCATCTGTGGTGATATACATTCACCTTCTTATGGATGGGGAGTTGTGTTCTCATTACAGGAGAATACCTTCTGTGGAGGTAGTTAACAAGAGAAGCTAAGTTGCAAATGCAGCTTGTGTGCATATGTCAGTGTCACTCTAACTGCCTACTTCCTGATAGATACCGTTGAGGACTATTATTGTTGCCCCTTAATGACTGTGGAGAAAAAAATTCCCATGTAGGGTTAAATACTGTCAGGAGGTATGTTTGGAAAGCAGTGGTACTGTGAGTTAAAGAAGGGAAGCAGGTTGTGGTGGGTAAGAAGAGGCTTGCTACGAGATTAGTTTACATAGCCTTGTCTCTTTCCTCTTCATAACTTTTCAGGTCACTTTAAAAAAGTGTCATTGTCTTGTGTATATGGTGCTTTGTAGTGAAATACTGTATCCTGTAATTGCGTATTTACCAACAAGTACACAATTGCCAGCTTTTCCGATTGGCACATTCCTGACAGCATTTATTGCTATGTGTCATCCTCAGTTCAGGTTGTGTTTTGCAGAAGCTTAGGAAATAATGAAAGATGGATTCTTTAAATTCAAGAACTCTTGCTTGTGCCCCAAACTTCTCAGGCTTCAACAACTGTGCACTCTTTGACTTATGAGCAGGGTTTGCATTCTGAAAGGCCTTGGCATTCAGTGACTTTGCTTGGGAAAAGTTATATCTCTGCTATGGTTTCACAACCTCAAAATTATCTAGCAAATAGATTATTTTTGGTCTTTTTAAATTGAGTTTAACCACAGTGAAGGCCATTTGTATCCAATTCTGTGGTATGTATATTCTCCTTTGAAAAGTTAATGTGTTGCATAAACCATTACTTAACACGGGAAGAATCTCTCATGCAATCATCTTTCATGCAAACACTTCTGCAGCAAATCAAAATTATATACAAGAACTTGATCGTAACATCTGTGTAATTCCACTCACCAGGTTAACACACATGTGTAATTCTGATCTATTTATGTAAAGGTTTTCCAATGCTGCTTTTAACAGTCTGCAGTTCTGACCATCTGTTGGATATTTGCAGTGTTCTCATAGCCATGTTGTTCCCAGGGTATGGGAGGGACAAGGTGGGTGAGGTAATGTCTTTTATTGGACCATCTCTGTTGGTGAAAGAGTTAGGCTTTTGAGCTCTACGGAGCTCTTCTTCAGGTCTTATCATATCTGTATCATCATATATCTACTTTTTAGTTATCTTTTTGCTACCGTTTTATAGTATTTTTATATGTAATCCTATTTTACTATACAGCTTCAATTTTTTTTCAATTGATGCATATTTGTTTACAAGACGCATCTCAATGTTGTATCAAGAGGCTATCTTGGTATGTGTCAAACACAAAATAAACTAATTCAGTAGTTAAGGGACACTGTCAAGGTTGACAGACATTAAAACTTGATGTTTGGGTTTGTGGGTATCTATCTGCAAGGATTTTGCTTGGCATCTTTCCTTCTTGTGCAAGAAATATACCTAAATTCTGGTCTCTGAGACCTAGGGTTATGTATATTTTTATTCTGTCTTAAGAATGGCGCCCAGGGCATAATATGTCCATTATTGTAAAGAAAACCCAGGACCCACTGGCAAAGTTGAAAATGCCATCACTGTTGCAATCCTGGTCTTTGGGAAGCTGATTTGGGATACCTGAAAAATAAAAAGGTACAGGGTGACCTGCTTAAATAGGAAGTCTCTTGAGGAACTGATTTTAACTTAATGATAGTGGATACTGGTGACTGCTGCTTATTCTGGACAGTATTAGCAAAACTTTCACTTCATGTGGAAGCATTTGGCTAGTGCCAGTGGCTTAAGTGGTGGTGGTTATGTAAAATGCTAAGCTTTGGTCCTTTCAGTACAAACACTGCCAAATGAAGATTTACAGATGGCGTACAGTGACAATTGCTTTTATTCTTTTAATATTATATGCAGTTTTTGAAGACTATTGTTTTTAAAGATGTTCCAATTAAGGGAAGTGTTGGGTCATGGCAGTGAGTTGCCTAGTGAGAGACTTCTACTAGGTAATAAAATGGCTATGCTGTGAGCTAGTCATTCTTGATAGGGTCTCTTTTAAAGGCTGGTGGTTCAGTACAGAGAAAAGTCTTTCAAGATGACACCTTGTTTGTGCATTCTTCTCCCCATAACCTGCTATCAGCAACAAGAACGTAATGCTTTTGGCACTCCAGAGCAATTGTAATTACAGGAAAGAAAGCAGCCTTGCAGTCTGCCTTGTGCATCAACTGGTTTGCTGTTTCAATTTTTTGGCTCTGTCTCTGGTGGTTCATGAAGCAGAAAGAACAGAACTTTATCTTCAGATGACTGATGGAGCTTGAAGTTAGAAAAGCCATGACTTTGGCTTGTGAAATGAACATATTGATATCAGAGAACAGTCAGTGCAGATCCTTTCTGGAGGACACAGCTTTGCTGACAGTGACCATGCTTTTAAAAACGTGACACCAGGTAAGAAAACCAAGCAAAACCTGACCTTCGTTTGTGAACATGCACACCATTGTACGTCTCCTTCTTTCACTATGTCAGTTTTAACTTAGATGGTTCTACAAAAGCCTGTACGTTAACTAGATTTAATATTAAGCTTAATTCCGCCCCCTCTAACCAAAAGAATGCTGTAGAACACAGTAACTGACTTTGAAGTTATTCCAGTCACCTGGGTAAATGCACAATTTTTTGACAGTTGAAGATTTGTTTTTATGCATGTTATTTAATTGTCTGGAACAGCTCTAATCTCATGAATATGCATATATATATATATGCATATATTATATTTTTTTGAGGGACATATGTTCACTTTTTAGACCAGCTTCCAGACTTGTATCATATAAATAATGCTTAAGATATAGATTAAAAATAAATACTGCACTTGGCAGTTGCCACTTTTTAATGTCTTGCACATTTCAATTATTTTTTAAAATAGAAATAAGTACTAAAATCTATTGTGCCATATTATGGGCTGATTGCTTGCCAAACTTTATTTTTTTAAATCTGTCTTTGACATGATGTACATCTCCCCAAAAGTGTCTTAAATTGGTCCTTGATTAGTTTTATCCTCATAGACCTTAAATTTGGACACAGGTTTTATTTTTAAAACTTGGAAATAAATAATTGCCTCTCAGTTGAGACCTTGCATTAGAAGGGTCATCGCAAAGCAAATGGCTTAACAGCAGAAGTCTGAACCTCCGGAAAGCACAGATCTTTTAACAGAGATACTGACATGACTTTAAGTGGCATGGTGTTGATGGGGGGGGGGAAGTTGGCAGGAGTTCTGTTGTAGCCTCATTCAGTCCTTGAGCAATACTTAAAGGAGCACTATAGTAATAACTGGAAGCTATTATTGTCAACAATTTCACACAAGGCGGCTTTCTGAATGGCCTTTGCATGGTTTCTAAAACTTGTACTGCGTGCGTGTGTGTGTGTGAGAGGGAGGGAGAGAAAAAGGATTAAAATACCCAGTTTTGGAAGTAGGTTCCTTGATGTATTGTGGGGGTTTTGTTTTTGGTTGTTAGTTTTGGGGATTTTTGTTTTTGGCTAGAAGTCTTAAATCTATAGGCTACTGCTTTATACAGTTGTGTTGACTTTGTTCTGCTATTGTTCAGTTGCACAAAGTTTTCTATATGATGTACTAGATTTTAATGTTAATTCTTTGTAACCATTGTTGCGGTTATTCTCTTAGTTTTTAAAAAAAAAGTCATATTCAGAAGTTCCCTTTTAAAAACTTGTATTTTTATTGCAGTGTTACCAGATGGCCTTATATACGTCACAGTGTTTGTGATAGGTACAGTTGTGTATTTAATGCTTATCCCTCCTCTTACTTTTGTGTGTATAGCTGAGATGTATAGTCTTAGTGATTTGAGATAAGCATACAAGAAAACTCTCCACTTGTATTGTGAGGAAGGCCTGACTTGAGCACTGGCTATCTGCATTGAGCTGTATTAAGGCAGCAGGAAATACTGACAGAAAACTCGAGAGAGAGTTAATGAGCACGAGACTTAGTGGGGGTATTTTGAGCAAGCTGATGCTCTCTTGATGGAAAGTTTGCATTGTGGGCCAGATCTATAGCTGGTGTAACTTGGAATAATTGACGCCAGTAGACCTGAGCTGATGTACACCAGCAGAGAATCTGGCCCTGTAGCTTTTTATCTAAAAGGCTCAGAGCAGGGGGACATGAGTTAATTTTGGGAGAACTTAAGCAACAGGGTCAGTTATGGTAACATGGCACAGTAACTTTTTTAAAATTAATGAAGTAGAATAGGTTCAATGTTTGTCAGTAACTTCAGATTTAAATTTGCTTTGTTTACAAGTTGGGGGGGGGGAACCTGTAAACTCAAACTAGGATCTGAAAGTTGAGCTGGGTTCCTTTCTTCTTTGTGTTTCAGCCCCGGTGGGTGATGTCTGTAGCCTAAACTCTGCAGTTGTTTTCATTGATGCAGCCCTGTTGTCTTCACTGATGGTGACCTCGTGGAACAGAGGGCAGAATTATCCCCCTGTAATTTGATTTTATTTTTTTTAACTCTGAAAAGAACCCATCTTCCTGCCTGTAATTCTGGCTCTGCAGAGCCCACAGTGGTAAAATCTAACCTTCAGCACTAAAATCAGCAGGTCTGCCTGAATACACAGGGGGCAGTAGATGCCATTTTTCACTTATTCTTTCCAGAGTAGAATTGCACTTTAATCTAATACAGAGTCAGCAGATAAAGCAAATTTCTGCTCTGGGGCAGAGTTGTGTAGATCTGATAACCTCCTATGTATTCTACACATGATCTCTTAGTTTGGGATAAATACTGTAATCTTAGACAGTCCTGGTGCTCTGATTACACTAGGGTAAACTTAACTGGGAATAAAGTAGCTTTTTAGTGTAACTCTCTGTTCTTTTGAAAGTTGTACTTTTATAATATCCAGTATCTTAATGCCATTGTGCTGTTAAAAAAAAATGCTGGTATGTAATGCAAGTGCATAAATAGCCAAAGTTCTGAGAAACTGTTCAGTGTTACTAAACCTGATTTTATTTACCCTCCTTGCATAAGAGATTAGGGAGACCTTCAGCATGTTAAGATGTGATCAAAACTGATACGATGGAATTTGAGACACTGACTACAGCTGATATGCACTTGTGTGTTTCAGCTTTGAGAAGAATTATTGGGGCAAAGTTACTAAATTCTAAGGTGCAGAGTCAATCGTTGAGGAATTGCACTGCAGTGACACTTTGCTTTAAAAGTTGGTGCATTAGCTAAAGTCCATGCAAACGTAATGAAGGTCTTCCCTGAGGAATCAGGTGACTTGTCTATTGCTTCTGTGCAGAAGAAAATATAGTGTATGGCAGTTTTTTTAAAAAATGGGGTAGGGAATGGTTGGGGAAAACTATTTTGTGTAATAATTGACAGAGGGATTTGCTTTGTACAATAATGCAAGCTGGCTTTTAAAAAAAGGCATTGTAGCAAACTATTCAAGTCAATCATATGTTAATAGATATCTGCAAGCAGACATGAAAAACAATTGTATTTTTTTAAATAAATATTTTTAACAAAGTCCTTGATCTTCTCTCCTTTAGAGGAAACTCACCCGTACAGCAACTGTGACTAATTAGCTCTCTGATAATGAGGAATGTCCATTACCTTCAAGTGTTTACTGGCATCTTGTCTAGCAGAGGTAAAGATCCTATTGCACAATCCTTTGGGTAGAGGTCAGTTCTGTTCTCCAGGTAAGATCTCCAATCACAGCACTCTTCTTAAGGATTTGGAGATGGTAAAAAGCTGGATTTATAGTGCTAGGGAATGTGAAACATTGCATCCTGGCAACAGTATTTAGTCTACTGCCATCACCCTGCAAAGACCAAGCTCTGTTTTTTAAGGATGAAATACTAGGATCTCTAGTACAGGTAATGTCCTATTTGGAGTAGACTCCTTTGAAGAGAGCAAATGACTGGGTTTTTACTGTTATTTCATATTAATCTTGTATTGTGTTAGTGCATAATCTAAATCAGCCCAGTTGTACCTGCAGAGACAGGTGGTTGACTCTTCTTCCCCCCCCCCCCCAAACGCAGGAAAGAGGCATGTCTGAGGACCAGTGTCCTATGAGGGTGGGAAAGAATCTCTTATCTTGGGCCCTCTGTTAATGAAGGTTTTTTATACTGTAAGAGATGTTTGAAATACACCCTAATACCAGCTATTCAGTGTAATGGGGAGTATTTGTAGAACAATCAATTACTAAGACCTGCTGTCCTGCCTCACTGAACCATGTGCAGAGTAAGAGTGGCATCAGGTGGTGATACAGAGGAATTACAGTGCATTTCCAGTTTCATATGAAGGAGTAAAGGTCCCACTAACTAAAAGCTGTGCTTCTGGAGGACACCTGTGAGTAACTATTTATTTCATATTTAATATAACACCTCCATTGTGTTACCTCTCTTTGGTCAGGGCTAGTGTGCGCTCAGCTTTACATATGTATGACCATATACTAGTTTTACAAAAGTACTACCTCCTAAGGGAACTTTCTGGGAAGAGATTTTGCATTGTTAAGTATAGGGGAAAATGGTTGGTGGGATACAAACTCCAAAGGGCACATGCAACTGGATTGATGGAGGGTACTGCAGTTTGGAATTCCAAAGCGAATGGTGCATATTGCACAGAATAAATAAGGGCTTAAGTCAAATTGCTCTAGATAACAATTGTAATTGTTTTATTTGAGAGCCAGTGTTAATCTTGGCCTCAGAGGTTGTCTGGACGGAATGGGTTTGGTTCAAATCATTTGGGTCCTGTAACAGTTACTCAGAGCCTAGTGAGAATATAGTAATCACTTTTAATTAACATTGCTTTATATACACACATACATATGTACATCCACATACAATCACACTAAAGCCTACATCTCTTCAAACTTTCCCAAGGTATCTCCAGAAAGCTAGCATCATTACACTTGCTAGTGTTGTCTTGTAACAGATCGTTCTTGGGGTATACAGTACCTCTAGAGTTTATCTCATGGAAGGCACCTTTTGTAGTGGATATTGCACAGATTAAATGGGTGGAGGTGGAGCCTGGATGCACCTGCTTAAGGTTTCAGATAAAAGCTAGACTGCAAACCTCCCTAAAATACTGCTACTTGCACCAGACACTTTTGCAGCTTACCAATGACTTAAGCAAAAATAAACCAGCAAAACTCATTCTTTCCTCTGCTATATAGCTAATTTAAATACTTAGTATGCTAGAGCCTATTGATTAAGGCTCTGCTGTAATGAACATATCTGATACTGTGTAATATAGATGGATCCTGTTATCAAAGTGCTCCTGGTGTTTCCGCTAATATTGTGATCTCCCCTTTGGGAGCACAGTTGAAGCTTGGATACTCTTACAGGTCTGGTTGCTGGAAAACTAATTCTGAACCACTCTTGCAGCACAGCATTATGCAGAGGGTTGTTCTGTATTAATTGAAAGCTAGAATTGGTGCTGTAGGTTGTCAGGACCATGGCTACAAAATGGGTCCCGTGCTTACACAATAGAGAAACCTATTGGTTATAGTAACTCTAAACCAGGTGATACCCAAAATATGACACATGAAACAGTAATAGACTTACAACTTCCAGCCTATCCTCTGTAGGGAAGCTTGCTCACAATTTTTCTTCACCAAGCTGCCATAAATTGCTGATTTCCAGGATACAGGATTCTGCAGTTTGACATTCATCTTAGTGGCATAACAGACCCAAGCAACTTCTGCTTGCTGTACTTAGCCTCCCAAGGTGACTTAGGATGTTTGGTTGGTTTTCAAATTTAACATTTTTGATTGCAGAAAACTCAGGTAATTTAGCCATGTAATTAGTGTGAAATCATCCTTCCTAGTAACGCTTGATGATTTGTGTTTATTGCAAATACATACAACTCAATGTCCAGGGCTATGCCTTCTTTTTAGCCCTGATAAAGTCCAGAGTCACCCATCATTGCTGGCTTGTCAGGTGAGGAGACAGCTACCTCTGCAAAATAAGATTAGTTCACCTGTCAGTAGACACTTTGTGCAGAACCAATGAGCATTCATTCATTCTAACACGCTTTAAAAGAAAATGCATAAAATAGACCCTCTGCTCTATTGGATACCTACTTGCAGTAGTTCTTGAAGTTATTGGTGCAGCGGTGGTTTCCTCTGCCTTCGAGAGGTAGCAGCATTTAATTTTGGGAGGCACCCCTAGTGCCAATCAGTGAAGGGGAGTGTCGGATGGTTTTTACAGCAGGAGTTGAATCTATTCCCAGCATTGGGGCTGCCTGACTTATCTTGGGCAAGTCACAATTGTGCAGGACCTCTCTTCACTTGCTTTCAAAATGGATTTACTTCATAGGGGTGCCGTGAGGCTTAGTTCCCTTTTTGGGGAACAGTGATCTTGGTGCAAAGGGTGCTGTAACAGCCCACTGTGTCAGAGACAACATAGGAAACTCCCCGTCTCTCACCTGGATAGAATTTACCAATGCTGTCTTTAGATGGGAGGCTGCTTTCTTTGGAAGGTAGAGTTTGCAACTAAGGCACTTCATAGATTCCAAGGCCAGATTAGGTCACACTGATCATCTAGTCTGACCTCCCATATAACTGAGGCCATAGAATTCCCCCAAAATAATTCCTAGAGCAGAGTTTAAAAAACATCCAATTGTGATTTAAAAATGGTCAGTGATGGAGAATCCACCACAATCTTTGGCAAATTGTTCCGAAGATGAATTACTAATTTAAAAATTTACACCTTATTTCCAGTCTGAATTTGTCTAGCTTTAGCTTCCAGCCATTTTATCGTGTTATATCTTCCTCTGCTAGGTTGAAGAGCCTATTATTAAATATTTGTTCCCATTGTAGATACTTAGACTTAATCATGTCATCCCTTGAGCACTTGGGGGAGGGATAGCTCAGTGGTTTGAGCATTGGCCTGCTAAACTCAGGGTTGTGAGTTCAATCCTTAAGGGGGGGCCATTTAGGGATCTGGGACAAAAATCTGTCTGGGGATTGGTCCTGCTTTGAGCAGGGGGTTGGACTAGATGACCACCTGAGGTCCCTTCCAACCCTGATATTCTATGAATCTGTCTCTATAAGGCATATTTTCTAATCCTTTAATCATTCTCATTGCTCTTCTCTGCAACTCATTCCAATTTATCAACATCCTTTCTGAATTGTGGGGACCAAAACTGGACACAGCAGTCACCCAGTCCCAAATACAGAGGTATAACAACATCTCTCCTCCTACTTGAGATTCCTGTTCTTGCATCCCAGGATCGAATTAACTCTTTTGGCCAAAGCTCCACACTGGGAACTCATGTTCTGTTGATGATCCACCACAACCCCCAAATCTTTTTCTGACTCACAGCTTCCCAGAATACAGACCTAAGTATCTCCTACCTTTTGTTCCTACATTATACATTTAAATTTAGCTGTATTAAAAACATCTTGTTTGCTTGCACCCAGTTCACCAAGTGCTCTTGATTGCTCTCAGTGCATGACCTTTCCTCTTATTTATCACTCCCCCAGCGTTTGGGTCATCTGCAAACTGATTGTGTGTTTTCTGCCAGGTCACTTATGAGAATGTTAAATAGCATAGGGCCAACAATCAATCCCTACAGTACTCCCCTGGGAACACCTGCACAGTGACTATTCCCCATTTGCAGTTACGTTTTGAGACCTATCCGCTCACCCCATTTAATGGGTGCCATGTTAATTTTATATCATTCTAGTTCGTTACACAAAATGTCATGAGGCACCAAGTCTAAGCATGTTACATCAACACTATTACAAGCTCTGGCTTTTTGTCTTTCAGAGGGAAGGCTGCATTATTCCTGGGCTTAGCTGGGAAGCAGGCCAGAGAGACAGTTCAGGTTGCAACTGTCAGGACTTGCTTCTACTAGTTACATAGCAGAATGATTTGGTTTCTCAGCTATCATCCCACTCCGTTTATGGTTCCTCCCTTACCCCAAAACCTGCTTAATGTCTTCCCAGATCAGAAAAGAAAGCAGACTCAGACTTGTGTTTGCCAGGGATTTGTGGGCAAGTCAGAGCAGGAAGAGGGAACAGGAAACAGCAGGAAAATAAACATTTCCTTGCATTTTACTTGGAACGCTGCATGCTGGCTGTATGTTAATGCACATGTCATTTTTCCTGTCATTCTAAAGTAGGCCTAACTGCTGGCATTTTCTTACCTGATGAGGGCTTGGGGTACATCCTGTGGAAAAACAAAAGGAAAGTGTAGAACATAAAGGCCAAACCTCCAAAGATCATCCCACAAACCAGGAAACTGTAGCTGCCCTGATCATGGATAATCTGCAGTAAAGAAAAATAAGGGTCTTAAGTACAGTGAGAGAGGTGCTTCATACCAGGGCAAGCCACAGGGAGCAGCAGGCTGTTTACATAGCGCCTGGCAGAGGTTAGCAATGTTCCTTTGTTTAACATAGGGGAACCTTCAGCTCAGGAATCCATTTCCCCTGCTGGTCTGGCCAAGCCAATCTGTTGACCTGCAAGGCAGGTGCCAAAGCCCATCTGTTTTCACAGGCTGTGTTGGCTCTAGAGAGTCTCT